AATCAACAGTCAACACAAGAGAAATTTAATACTGGGAAGAAAAACAACAAAGACTAGGTGTCTTCCAAAAAGAACTAGAATATAGTTTGGCGTCTTAAATAATGTGCAATATAATTTCTTCTGTTCTTCATTTACTTTCATGTAATAACTGCCAAATAAATGCTAGTTTTAGCTCTGATTATGTTTTGGTTTTCTAATTTTTAAAAGCAGAGCAAGTTTTAAAAAAAAAAAAATCTGGCTAATCTGTGCTTCACAATTAAGCCTACTTTTGTGTCAGTTGGTTGTTCTGCCAAAGAAGCCACATTTCAGGCCCCACTGGCCATCTGGTGGGAGCTTGTCTGATTTCCAGGCAGAACCTCGTGGTCTCTGAAATACAGGTCTTGTGGCATCCAAAAGCCAGAAGAGTACTGCTGGTGTTGCCAGTGCAGCCCTTTGTAAATTTGACACAAGGAATTGTGGTTTCTTGGGTTCCATTTGTGACTGTCCATTCCTTCCAAGACCAGGGTATGGCACATTGATAAGCATTATTGACCCATTTTTAGATCTAAAAACTGCATTTAAATTCGGAAAGCAAGGCAGTATCAAACTTAATATATTTTTAAAAAGAATAAGAAAAAAATGGAGTCACCCTGTGTCGAGGGATTCATTAGCATGAAGCACATGAACACTGCTTGGGTCATTCTGTTCTCTACGCCAGGAGATGGAGTTGCTCAAAATATGCAGCTGGTAGATGGGGTCGGGAGAATGGCACTACTGCTGTTTACTCCATCTGCTCTGCCACACTGCTGCCCTTTATAGATTTTTTTTTAAAGGTTCTGTTCCTATTTGGAGCTGTAAAAGGAGGTTTTCTTTATAGACCAGAGGACCTGGTCATTTATTTTAAATATGGCCAGGTAGTTGTTGGACACTGTCTCACAGCAGAGATTTGGGGGCCAGATCTGGGTTCTGATGTTAGCTTCCCACTTGTGAACTTTCCACACGTGAAGTGACCTTTCCTTCTCTGAGCTCCTGCTTCTTTCTTGATCAGACAAGGCCAATAACTACAATTCAGGACAGGGCTTAGAGCAGTTACTGAATTTTCAAAGCTAAAATTCTGAAGCACATTTCTATGAAATTCTGATTTAAAGCCTCATGAAACTAAGAGTCTCTTGGGAGATACAAATAGGATAAATAAAATAAATGTGTGCTAATGATATGTATTGAAGAGAAAAAAAAATAGGGAAGGGGAACATAAGATATTGGGAAGAAATTGAAATTGAATACACAAGTCCCCCTCAACAAGAACGGGCTTTTGAGTAAACACCTGAAGAAAAAGAAGTAGCATGCTACCTGGGTAGATATCTAAGGGAATAACATTTCAGGTTAGTGTGTGGCGGGAGGCAAGTGAAAGGCCTTGAGGCAGGAATGTACATGGGATATACAAGGAACAACAAGGAGGGTGGTGGGGGTCGAGTAGGAGGCATAGTAGGAGATGTGGTCAGAGAGATAACAGTGGGTCAGTTGGTAGATCAGGTATGGTCTCGTAGATCATAGAAAAGACTTTGGAGGGTTTGAACAGAGGAGCAAAATGATCTTACATCTGACTTACATTGCTCAAAGACTCTAAGTGCTATGTTGAGACTAGATGTTTGGAAGGGAAGGAATGAGAGAGGGTGGTCAACACAGCAGAGTATGGAGACCAGATAAGAGGCCAGTATTCCAGAGCACTCCCACGTTGTACTAGTCATCTTTCCATCACTATAACAAATATATGATATGATCTATCATATGTATCACATGTCTTAAAAAGAAAGTGGGTTGGTTTTTTTTTTTTTTTAGCTCATAGTTTTGGAGGTTTTAGTTCATGGCTGGTTGGCCCCATTGCTTTTGGGCCTGTGTTGATGCAGAAGCCAGTGGTAGGTAAAGCCACTTACTTCACAGGCAGTGAGCGAAAAATAAAGAAAACAGGAAGGGGCTGGAATGCCCTTTGAGGACACCTGCCTCCCAGTGACCTAAAACCCCCCACAAGACCCTTCCTCCTAAACGTCCCGCCAGCTCCCCATTGCACGAGGCTGGAGAGCGAGCCTCCAGCATTGGGCCTTTGGAGGCCACTCAGGATGTGAATCATAGCGGTGTCCATCTTACTGGAGTTAGTGTGTTACATTCTGCCATTAAGACACAGCAGGTTTCCCCTGCGCCCCTCTCATATTTGTAAACTGCAGGAGGAATGGGAGCAGTATCGTTCTGACAGCCACCCACCCTGGCTTCATCCTGGGCAGATGGTGGTACTATAGAACAACCGCATTTGAGTCCTGCTTCTCTGATAAGTTTTCTTGCAAGAGAAGGGAGTACTTTTTAAAATGGATTCTCTCTCTCAGTTGTCATAGTGAAGCAATCCCTGGTGATTGTCCCCTGGCAACCCATACTACAGGAAAGTGCTGTTTCATTGTGAAAGTTATCAATTCTGACACATTATCAGCCAACAGAAAGGAAAGTAGGTTAGTAGGGCTGCTGAGCACCAAACAGCAGTGTTCCCCGCCCCTCCTGGGTGAATGGCGTCACTTGGAAAAGGAGCCCTTGCTGCAGGCCGTTGCTACTCTGTTCACCAGCCTGGAGCTTTGCTTTTCCTTCTAGAATTTTTTGGTTGGGACTTGCTTCCTACTGCCTTCAGAATTTATGCTATTTTTCAAGGTTGCCTTTAAAGTCATTTCTATGTACATTTATTAGAAAATTAGAGACTGACTAGATTGAAAATTCTTACTAGATTGAGAGTCAACCTCAGAGATATGTGACTTTATAAACTGCCATAAAATTCTCAAATAAAATAATCTTAATTTGTGTGTGTGTGTGTGTATTTTACAGGTAGAGAATATGTATTATTAGTCAAACTTAATAAGAGTCAGAACTATAAAAAGGTTGAAGTTATCGATTTCTATCAGAGAGCTTAACTGGTGCCTCAAAATTCTCTTTGATTATCTTACAAGTTGTGTGAGTTATTACCATTTTAACCAGAATCTGATCAGGCATGCATGGATAGGGTGCAATTTAATGTCATAAAAAGACATCAGTGGCTGGACACAGTGGCACATACCTATAATTCCAGTGGCTCAGGAGACTGAGGCAGGAGAATGGGGAGTTCAAAGCCAGCCTCAGCAAAAGTGAGGTACTACGCAACTCAGTGAGATCCTGTCTCTAAATAAAATACAAAATATGGCTGGGGATGTAATTCGGTGGTCGAGTGCCCCTGAGTTCAATCCCCGGTACCAAAAAAAAAAAAAAAGTGACATATGCACAGTTTATAAATTGAGTATATTTATCACTTTAATTACAAACATAATTTCACAATTTCCCTAGGTGGAAAAGAAACTACATAATCATTTTATGTGCTTTATATATTAAAAATATCAAGCAAAAAATAGATTGAGCTATCAGATGTTTTTATTTCCACAGTGCTTTATCATTGTTACCCTCTCTGTTCTAGAAGGGGTACTTGTCAATGTCTGGATTTTGCTTTTCTAAAGTCATTTATATGACCACCACCCTTATGTCCATTATATTTCAAAGTGATAACACTTCAACCTTCATCAGCTCATTGAAGTCCTCAGAATACCTTTGTGGATGAAGAAGATAAATAGTGTCACCCCAGTTTACAGCAAAGGAAACAGTTTTGGAACAGGATTTTTTGGATTCTTGGTCTAGGGCCCTACCCCTGTAATATTTGTCAAATTTGTGGTGCTCTATTAGTAGAAAAGTAAATGCAGATATTTTGCATCAAGATAAATTCAGAAACAATAGGTAGTGATGACATTTGTGTTTGAGAATTCTGATTGATGCATTTTTGCATATTTCTTTCCTATATCTTCTTAGAAACCTACATTAAATCCAGAAGACATCAAAATGTGCCTTTTAAAGGTCAATAAATCTTCACAAACCTGAATCACAAAAGAAAACAGCATATTCCTCTTATAGAAAGTTCAAGTACAGGCCGAACACAGCTGTGGTGTTAGAAGGCTGAGAGCAACTACCCTCATCTGGAGTGGGTGGCTGGGAGTGGTGTAGACTGATCTGTGTGCTGGTTACATTGAAGTTCCCTTTGGGAAGCTTCTCTGGCTTTTTATTCTTCAGTAAAATTGTATTTAAATACCGTATTTTCATAAGTGGTAGTTCAGTTTGAGTGTCTAAAATTGAAGAACAGTTCATATACATTTATTGTATATCATAAACTGCCATTTCCCCAGGAAAGTCAATTACCTTTTTTGTTGTTTCTAAGCACTTTGCATTTATTCTGAGTTCATCTTGTCACGGAATCAGCTGCCCACGAGCCACGTCAAAGTCCTTCATAAAATGCTTGCCAACACAACTCTCTTGCTTACACTTTCTAAGGTGCTGTGGGAAGAAGGGCTCTTGAGTGAGGATGTTAATCTGTATCAAAACAGACACTGCTAGAAATGCTTTTGTGGAATTCTGATAAGGCTCAGAAGGAGGGCTTTCGTCAGCTTCTTCTAATTCAACAATTTCACACTGATTTTTTTCCCCCAGGGGGAAAAAAAAAATGGTTTCAGAAGAGCTCACAGAGTTGAACAACAATAGCTCTATCATTTTTTAAATGTTCTTTGAGGTCAGAGCGTAAAGGAAATAAGATTGAGGCTAGAAATTACTCTGAGCAAATCTAAATTTTCATGCAAATGGACACTAATGGCTGCAGCCCTGATGTTCTCTAGGCTTCTGAGCTTTCTGTCCACAGCAAAAACCGGGGAAACTGGAAGAACATAAAGGATTTTGTGGATCAGCAATACCCTCTGCAGTCCTCACAATTTACAGGCCAGGGCCAGGGTGAATCATATACATTATGGGTCTTGTTCAAGAGGATGCAGTTTTCTTGCAAATCATTGCTTCTGTGAAATGTGCTCAGTTCTTTGGCTTTCTTTAAATCAGTCTAATTTTTCAAAATAAAACATATTATTTAAAAAAAACATTCCTGCCAGCTTTTTACACGTTGTGATTTCTTGTTTTCTCTGCAGTGTTCTCTTTCTTCATCAGAAGAAAGACTTATTGGCATCAGAAGACCTAAAACGCCAACCTCAGGTGACTACTCTGACCTTAACACTCAGACCAACTGGACCAAGTCACTGCCACTGCCAACACCAGAAGAGAAGATGCGCCAGCAAGCCCAAACGGTCCAGGCTGACGTGGTGCCTATTAACATAACTGGTACGCCTTGCCTGGTAGACAGATTGAGAAAGTCCTTGGGAGAATGTCTGTGGATTTTTGTTGGTTATGTGCTTCTTAGCATTTCACTTTTACACCAAAGGGAATAGCTGTGGTCTAACTTCAGCTCTTCATCAGATGAAGGGAATACTAAAACTACATATGTGTGTGCATGCAAAATATCTGTTGTCTGTTAGATCAGATGACTTTGTCACCAGAGGTTGGTGTCAAAGAAGTCGATGGTTCAACCTTTCATCTAAAACATGGCTTTTTAAATTGTATGGCTTTTTATTAAGATTTCGGTTACATAGGAACATCTTCTCAATGTGGTCCTGGTTGAGAAAGAAAATAGATATTCCCTCCTACTCCCTTCTGAAGGGTTACTTTAAGTAATATTTGTAGAAGTGAAGAAATAATTATTTTGTGATGTTTCTGGTAGATTTTCTTGTTACCTTAAGTAAAAAAGGGCACAAATTCTTTAAATAAAAATATCAAATGAATCAGTAACTATAACATATTCTAAAAGATTTCACTGTGGTGATAAAATTATATTCTAATTTTTATAATTTGAATTACACAATCTTCAAGTAAAAATGCATTGCTTCTGAATAAACGGTTTTTATAGTATGTTACATTAGCTTGGGATGTGAATATTAATTGCTAAATCAGAAACTATGGAATATTGTACTGAGCCATTAATCATTTCTGATAATTAAGGTGATAAATAATGAGGGACATCAAACTTAAAGATAATCTTTCACAAATTTTCTGTAGCTACAGGGGGAATTGGTCAGTGGTTTGGGGAAGATATAAAATCCAAAAGAGGAATGGTAAGAGTTAATAGGAATGGAGCATGCTTAACTTACACAGGCCCTGGGTATAATTCCTAGCACCAACCCCCACCCGAAGTGTGTTCTGTAGAAATAGATGAACAGCAGTCCTAGCAGGAGTCATTGGTAATCAGTCCACACAAAGCATGGCCTATAGACCCTAAAAAAATTAGGTGATAAATGGATAATTTTTCATTAAAAAGGAGTTTGAAAACCCATAACTCTTTGATATTTTCTGAGGCTACTACTTTTAGGAAGCCTTTTGCCATGGCTTGGTGAGCTTATAGGGACTGATAACGTTTTGATAATTTTTGAAGCTTTAAAAAAAACCATTGCAGGATATTCCAAAATTACATTCAAAACTCTTATTTTGAATTCCATGGAAATTTAATTAAAATGCATGAATGATTTTTGATTCCATATCCATTTTTCACACTTGTACCTTAAAGAAACAGCATGTCTTACTCCATTTTCTGTGTAAACAGCATTGTTGATCTTCATGATGTGTTTCTCCTTCACCTAGCTCATACCTTTCAAAGATTATTTTTATAAGTAGTTTTGTTGCAGAATGAAATAACAATGGATAGTGTTCACTACTTGATGAAATACAGGGACACATATTTCTATTAGAAAAAGAATGACATTATTTGATTGATTAAATGCAGCAGAAATGCAATTATAGATGATTAAATGTCTCAAATAATATTATGAGATAAGAAGACTGTTCAATGAAATATGATAATTCTTAATAGAATTAGGATGAAATGCATTATCTTGAGATTAGGGGATTTTAAAATAGAGTAACTAGCATTCCAGGAATAAAGAATTATTTGCAATGAAATAAATTTTCACAACAGAAGATGGTGTCACATCTTTGAGTTTTAATTCTCTCCTGCTTGATGACTAAATGTACATGAATTACATTGCATTTAAAAGAAGACCTTTAAGTGCCACCTAGGAAAGGTGAATGATAGTTCAAAAAAAAAAGAGCAATATAAGTTATGTCAAAATATAATTTGTTTTTAACTGAGTCATGGACATTTACAGAAATGATAAAATTAAATATAATAATTACATACTTACTGATCTAGTTTCTGTATCTGTGTGTTCGCATACACACCTATATTTCTGAAAGGACTTGTTTCTGGTCTAAAAAGCAATAAAATTTCAAAATTTCACTTTGGTTGAACTGATACAGTTTATACAGTTCCCTGCTGTGTAAATTATATATTTCTAAAGTCCTAGAAGATTTCTGAGGTAAATATGAAGCTTCTTGAAAGGAATCACGTGCTCATTAATTTGAGTGAGGATTGATCTCTAGTCTGATTTTCAGTAAGACTCAGCAGGAAAAAAAATGGCATAAACAACATAAATATATTGTTTCAAATCCAGAGCTAAGCCCACCAGACCTAGAGGTATAGAACATCAGCACAGTGGAATGCTGGCTTGAAATGTGGTTTAATCCCTTTTAGTTTCTATCCTATGGGGACCTGACCTGTTCTAAAAATTGAAGAGAAAAAAATATTTAAGATTAAAAAGAATATATATATGTATGTGTGTGTGTGTATCACACACACACATGCATACATACTGGCAAGTAATTTAAAATAACATATATATATATTCATTCCATAATCTGCCATGTGGGATAACAACTCTTCTACATGGAAGATAAGTAGAGTGAGTGAATATACTTAAATGATTTACAAACTGCCTTGGTTCCTAATGCTGCCTAAGTTTATTTCTAAATACAAACCATGAATAATCAAATGCCATTTTTCAATGAAAGGGAGTGATTCAATTCAATAGATGTTTATTGAATAACTACTTTGTGCCAGGCATTAGGTCATAGGGGCTGGTAAAGTATGACTCATGGTCTCTACTCTCAAGAAATGTGTAGTCCAGCAGGTGAGATCATCTTTTTAGGTCACCATTCAAGGTGGAGAGTAAATGCCTTTAATGGTGTATGTTGTAGATGATTATCCTCATATGGTTTCTTCATTTCCTTGAAGCTTGGGTGGTTTTACCTTTTGTTTTTGTCTTAGAAGTAAAACCGGAGACTAACTGCAACTTTCTGTTAATGTTTTGTCCATTCTTAATGTCTGGGTACAAGGGATTTCTTCTTCTGCCGCAGAGAACTAATGAACCACTGAAGTCATGACTGGCTCCTTTTAAGCCTCATTTGTGCTATTGCATATAAATGACCCATTTATCACAACGGTGGTACCTTCTGGTGTTTCAGGCTCTTCTCTCAATCATTTCTGTTTTTCTCCATTCAGAACAAAGTTGCAAGAATTTGCAAGTTTGCCAGCGTTTGTTTAAGTCTGTTGAAATATGTTTTGATCGTTCAGATCTTTTATTCTGTTTTGATTACATAGTGCACAATTTATTACTATCCAGACAGAAGTTATGTCGTCCACAGCATACCATTACGAATGTGTTTCAGTATTGCTAAAAAGAGTGACTCTTTTTATACTTGTGCATAAGAATGATAGAAATATGTGATTGTGTGTAAATATGTATTTTTAAAAAATCTCCTTTTGAGGAGAATAACCATGTAAAAAGGTCAGTGCTATAAACTGGCAAGTAGTTTAAAATAGACCAGTCAGTAACCGAACTTTTACAAATTTTATTACTTGATGGTTTCCTGTGGTGTGTTAATTACACCAGCTTATACAGAAAGGAGTCCTGTGGATGTGGCATTCCAGGTTTGATTGTCTAAGTTAAGGTTAACCTTCAACAGTGATCATAAGCAGTTCAGCTTTGACAACAGCGGTGCTACTGGGTCTCAGTACTTTATCATTATAAGGCTTTTCACTTTTTATTACAATTGTATCTCACACCGGAGCATTCCTACAGCCTCTCCAAATTGTCAGCCTCCTTGATCCAAGAAAAAAGCTCTGACTCTTGATTATTTGTGTCATCACAAAAGATGAGACATTATATTGGTCTCTGCTGGATGACCAGATGAATAAAGCATATTTATTGCCATTACCACATACATGCTGATGTAGAGAGTGATGTTGGTAGCCAGGCACAGTGGCCCATGCCTATAATCCCAATGGCTCAGGAGGCTAAGGCAGGAGGATTGTGGGTTCAAAGCTAGCCTCAGCAACAGCACGATGCTAAGCAACTCAGTGAGACCCTGTCTCTAAATAAAATATAAAAATGGACTGGGGATATGGCTCAGTGGTTGAGTGCCCCTGAGTTCAATCCCCAGTACCCTGCCTCCCATTAAAAAAAAAGAGTGATGTGGGTGGCCAGAGGAATCCAAAATATTCATTTTTTTTAAAGTGACACAGAATCACTCTTTCAGTGTGTTCTAACGAACTCATATTTGCTACTCTGGCTCATTTGAAGATGAGATCAACGTGTGTCCTTTGGGAAGGACATACACCCAGAAATTGGAAAACAGCCTTATGATGATAATGTGCTTCCCCTCCTTTTTCGCCCTTCAGCATTCATCATCGTATGACTGGCTAACATCATTATTAATCCCTTCTTATCATTTTACAACCAGCTTCTGGAAAGAAAGTGCATGGTGTCAGCTTGCTTGAAAATAACATTGCTTTGCTTGTTCTACTGCTCTGCATTAGGGGAGAATTTCGATCGCCAGGCCAGCCTTCGGCGGTCTCTAATTTACACAGACACTCTGGTAAGACGACCGAAGAAAGTCAAAAGGAGAAAGACTATTACAGGAGTCCCAGACAACATTCAGAAGGAGCTAGGTATGGCTCGTAGAACTGCATTCCATTGCCCTCCTCGCTGCTCGGCGTTACTCAGCTAACCTTGTGTGGTGCTGGTCAAATCCATATGTTCTAATGGCCAGATTCTTCCCTCGTGAGGCACCAGGTGCAAATCTTACAGATGATTTACTGCATTTTGGGGACAAGATAGCAGGGAAGAGCTTTTGTGTAAACGTAAGTAGGATGATAGAAATTGGGTTTGCCGTCATCTCTAGGCATCTTGAACACTGATTATTTCCATATTTACACTGATTGTTCATGTAGATCTTAAGTTCTTAAGAACCAAAACCTCATTCTTGGACTTCACCTTATGAGGGTGGATTTCAGTACTTTCACTGACGTGCTGGTGGCATTTTTTTCACGAGAGGCAGCAATATGAGATAGTCGTAAATGTCATTATGACAGAAAATAGTTGTTGGGTGTCAGGTACCTTTGTTACTATCAATGGAACTCATAGCTCTTTTATTCAGTATTTTGCAACCTGTGATCAAACCAATGGGGGCTGGTAGAAAAAGTCGTTTCATTCACTGTTGGCTTACCTGATGTCCTTGTGCTTGTCTTTTTATGCCCTTTGGATAATCCTTTCATTCTCTTCTCTGTAATAGATTCCTCTCCCTGTCCTTTAACAAGGCCCTGCAGGAATGTCCGCAGGGGCAGTTTAGCTTAGCTCCTAGGTCAGGAGCAGGACTCCAGCACCAGACTTCTTCAGTTGGAATTTTGACTCTGCCACTTGTTCTCTGGGTGAGATTACGTCACCCCTCTGAGTCTACTTCCTCATCCCACAAATGGGGTAGTGGTATGACTGGGTGTACTTTATGGGGTTAGTTGAGGACTAAGTAAAATTCTCCATGTGATGGCACTTGGTTCCCGGGATTACTATTAATGTAGTAGCCACTGTTGTCGTTATGGAGAACATAATGCTACCTATCTTGAAATTTGCCTCTTCCTCTTTCTCCAATCTGTGGGTTATGACCTCATAGTTCCTTTGCCTTATATTATTTACTTTGATTTACTATTAAAGATTATACTCTGGAAACTCAGAATCATGGTTTCTGAAATTGCTTACTAGTCTTTTGGTCAAAATTAGCTTATCTGAACAATAGTGATATTTCTATTGCAGTACTTTGAGGTCACATTTGGCTTCCAGTGCCACAAACGTTTTCCCCCATCACCCCTGCTTAATGCCTGGGAGTGGGGAGAGCACGCTCCTCTTTACCTGGCATTTTCTCTTTTACTTCCATTGACTGCAATACCTATTCTGCGCCTTCTAGAGTATAGCAACATTAGGACAAGAATAGCAATGTTTTGCCTCTGCTATAGGTAGCTCCTGAGGCGCACTTGGTGTGCAGGAGCTTGTCCCATTCCATAACAGAAGGGTTTGGTAGAAACGAAGGCAGGGCTGCGACTGAGCCCAAGGAATTTGAGAAGTCTGTCTTTGGTTCGTGCAGCATGCTGCTCCTGTGCTACCTGAGTCCTCCAGGCACCTTCTCCAAACTTATGCCTCAATGTCACCTGCGATTTCTCCTTCTCAACACTTAGCTGTGGATTATTCTTTCAGACTCTTTCTTCTTGAGACAGCTAACACATTTGAGATCTGTACTGGTATGCTCAGCAGGTGTTTAATAGGCTAATTCCTCATCATACTCAGGTAATGTACTTTAGCTGGTCTTTTTAGGAGATGTGCCTTAACCCAAAGGAGTGACTTTAAGGACAAACAGGACTTTTATAAGATAACAAGGTTAATGTTTTGAGGTAAGCTGTTTTTTAAGTGGATTTCCATTTGGGATAAGTAGGTGCTGGATGACTTTGTGTAAAAAGTGGAAGAATAAGATGTGCATACACATAAGTACATATGATGTATGTACCGTGGCTATGACATGTGATATGAAGCCTGGAACCTAACAGTTACAAACTTTCATCACTTTGAACTCACAGTGTGAGTCAGTAACTCAGTTGCCACTTGGATCTTACTACAGTGACCTGTCCAGCTAGGGAAATCTTAGCTTCTATAATTTTAATATTTCTTAAATTGATGATTGGGTCCCTGAAACCTATGTTCATTTCTCTTCTGCATGTGACAAGGAACCACCACTAATGGTGGAGGAAAGAAAATAGCTTTCCCTGCATCATTTGGGTTGTGACTGTTGCTAGACATGAGACAGAGTCATTGCACAGCCAATGACATGGCCTGAATGACAGTTGGAGCCACTGAGAGAACTCTATCTAAGCTAGAGCTAGTTTTTTTTTTTTTTAATAGACAATTAGTGACTCTAATTTCTAATAGATAGATTAATTGAAGGACTGATAGATGGAATGAGGGAAAGTAACATTTGAATAGAGTTTAATTAAGCAAAAATATTGGTTTATATTTTTGCCCCATCTTTTTGAGACCTCTAGTTTACCTTGCCATGTCTCCCAGCGTTCTGGACTTATGAGAACTGTGGTTTGCAAGTCTGTACTACTTACCTAATGATTATCAGAAACAGACACTTTATTGTTTCTTTTAAATTGGTCTTCATCTAGATAGAAAACACCAGAAAGTATGGCTAGATAAATTAGACAAAAAACGAAATGATTCTCTAAAGGAAAAGCATTCAATTGGGAAAGAGACCTTGCTCTCCACACTGCCCAGGTATCAGGGATTGGATTAAATAATAATAATAATAATAATAATAATAATAATAATAATAATAAATAACCATACAAGGATTCTTCCTTGAATTACAGTGATTTATTTGCTTAGAAATATGTAGTTTTTACTTCAGAATCCATAAATACTGGACTCTGGATAGTAGCCAGCATACAGCACTTTAAAAATCCAAGTATGATCTTGAATATTTACTTCCAAGTTTTATCTGAGGATTAATTTGTTGCCTTTCATTTAAATGAATCAGACAAAATTTTGAATTTTTTTCCTGACTCTTAAAACTACACAGAAATCAATCTGAATATTGTGCTACAAGGTTTGATTTTCTAGAATCAGAGAGGATCATTTTGTTCGTATATAATTATGTTTGGCTATGTCCCCACATATATTTCTTACTGAATGAAGACAGACAACACAGAGCCATGGTTTTGCTACTATTTTTAAAGATTTAATTTGTTCTAAGAATTGATTTCATTTTCTCAGTACACTTCGAGTAAGTTCTTGGCTTCACAATTTTTTTTTTTTTTTTTTTTAAGCTCTGTTCTTTTCTGGGTGGCTTGACATCTGTGCATCTACACTGAACAATTTTTCATGTCCGCTTCCTTCTCTTTCTGCATGATTATTTCCTTCTATTTAACATACTACTCTCTGGTTGTAAGACTCCAAGAAATGAATAATCCTGATTTGAGGAAATGCTCACTGGATCAGTTCCTGCTGCTCTCTCTGCACCAAAACACAACAGATTGCTATTGAATTTTGAATGTCACCAACAGACAGATGATAATGGCTTAAGATGGATAATGAAATGTTTGAAACACAGATGGGCCTGTACATCAATTTTCATTTTCTTAGGATTTCCTCCTGACATAAAGAATCAGATGTAATTAACACAATTTTATACCAATATCCCTCATAAATGGTGTGTCTGTCGCCCTGTTGTTCCACGAGTACACTCATCTATTGGGGGGAAAGAGGGTCATGACTAGATAGTTCTGGGTCACTGCTGGGCCATCCCCTGGTGGGGGAAAGGGCGCATTGAAGTCTTTACTGAAAGATGGTTATTTGAAAAGTACAGACTCCACAGAGCACTCAGCAAGCAGCCTTGGTCTCAAAGGGAGTGTCTGAGAATTCCACATGCAGCTCTCCAACTCTAAGGGGAGGACTTGAAGTACAAGTTAAAGAGAAAATAAATGTATGAAGTTGATAATAAGGGTTTTTATTTTAGAAGGTATCCGGAACTATTTAAATTCAGTTAGGTCCCTACAGGAGGAAAAAAAAAAAAAAAGAACTAAATTGGGGTGGGGGGGACCTTTTCTAATTACAACAGAGTCAGAAGGGGCTGAGGGTACAGATGACAACCTGTAGATTCCTATTTTCAGGTAACGAGCCTCTTTCTGCTTTCTCTCCAGCATTGGGCACTGGCCAAGATGATGTTGGTGGCCACTCAGTGTACACCCCAGACCACTACTCCACGCTAGGAAGGCTTGATAGCTGCCGGTCTGCTGGGCCGCGCTCAGAAACCAGGGACTCCAGCTGTCAGACTGAGGACATGAAAGTTGTACCTCCTTCCATGAGAAGAATCAGGGCGTATAAGGGGCTTGGCATTGCTGCCCAGATGAGCCACTTCTCAGGCTCCTCGGGCAACATGTCTGTGCTGAGTGACTCGGCGGGTATTGTGGGCCCTTCCCGTCTCAACAACGATGCTGGCTTCCACAGTCTTCCACGTTCTGCAGCCAGAGTGAACGCTCACTCCCTGGAGTCAAGACTGGGTGCCCTGGGCCCTACAGAAGACATGGAGGGCACTTTCCGCTACCAGAGGGCTCACTCACAAGGAGATGAAAACTTAGGACATTTAGGAGGTGCCTCCAGGACAGGGCCACTTTTGAGGCCCAAATCCCAGGAGCTGAGGCACTTTGAGAGTGAAAACATAACCAGCCCAGCATGTGTGGTTTCTCCTCATGCGACCTACTCTACCAGCATCATCCCAAATGCCACACTCTTGTCCTCTTCAGAGGTCATTGTTATTCACACTGCTCAGAGTGCAGGGCAGCTGGACAGTAAAATGACCGGCTCATCCTCATACTCCAAGATGAAATCCAGAGACCACCTCGTCTCTAGACACGCTGTGAAAGAGGATCATCAGGCCCCTAGTCACCACTGGGGTGAGGGACATCCTTCCATGGCCTTAGATAATCATTCTCCTGGTGCTACCACTATGTTGTCCCTCTGTGATTCGGAGGTTTCACTAAATGCCCCAGCAGATAGGGAGAATGGGTCCCGAGCCATGCCCTATAATTATAGAAACAGCCTGAGCTTCCCGGGTCACCCCCAGGATGTGGATGGGAAGAGTGAATCTAGTTATTCAGGGGAGAGAGGGCATGGCAGCTCAGAGCCTTGGGAATACAAAACCTCTGACAACGGGCGGGCATCTCCACTGAAGCCACATTTGGCCACTCCTGGTTACTCCACCCCCACAAGTAACATGAGTAGCTGCAGTTTAGACCAAACATCCATCAAAGAGGATGCCAGGTCCTTGTATTCAGAAGATCACGACGGCTACTCCACATCCATACACGGTGACCCTGGACGTGGGTCTGGGAATCTGTGCAGTAGCAGCGATGGCTTTGGGAATCCCAGGCACAGCGTGGTCAATGTTTTCGATGGAAAGTCTCAGAAAAGCCAAGGTGACCGGCCACATTACCATGACAAAACATTTTCTAGAAACATCTCTTTGAAGAAAGCAAAGAAACCTCCCCTGCCACCCTCCAGGACGGACTCTCTCCGCAGGATCCCGAAGAAGACCCAGACTAATGGGCAGGTGCTCAACGAGAGCCTCATTGCCACACTTCAGCACTCGCTGCAGCTGAGCCTCCCAGGCAAGGGCAGCAGCTCACCCTCACAGAGCCCCTGCAGTGACTTTGAGGAGCCCTGGCTGCCTCGTTCCCGGAGCCAGAGCACAGTCAGCGCTGGCAGCAGCATGACCTCTGCCACCAACCCCAATGTCTACTCCCTGTGCGGGGTCACACCCTCACAGAGCGACACAAGCAGTGTCAAGTCAGAGTACACAGACCCTTGGGGCTACTACATCGACTACACAGGCATGCAAGAAGACCCGGGGAACCCAGCAGGGGGCTGTTCAGCCAGCAGCGGGGCACCAACTGGAAACGGGCCAGTCCGCCACATCCAAGAGGGGTCCAGGGCCACAATGCCCCAAGTGCCTGGTGTTCCAGTCAAACCAAAGATCACATCACCGGAGAAGTCACAGAGAGTCACTTCTCCGTCCAGTGGGTATTCCAGCCAGTCGAATACACCCACAGCACTCACCCCTGTGCCTGTGTTTTTAAAATCAGCGTCACCAGCAAATGGGAAGGTGAAGGCCAAGCCCAAGGTACCAGAAAGAAAATCCTCGCTGATTTCTTCTGTGTCCGTGTCCTCATCGTCCACTTCTCTCTCCTCTAATACTTCTACTGAAGGAAGTGGCACTGTGAAGAAGTCAGACTCAGCAGGGTCCTCGGCCCTTGCTCCTCCTCCTCCTCCTCCTCCTCCTCCTCTTCCTCCTCTTCCAGCTCCATATCCTGCTGACAAGTCCCCTGTTCTTCCTCCCCCTCCTCCTTCAGCAGATTGCTCCCAGGGCTCTCCTCTGCCTCACTCTCCTCAGTTCCCCCCTCCACCCCCAGAAGCTCTCACCCCCTTCGGCTGCCCCCCTGACGGGTGCCTCCCCCCTCCCCCCTTCCCTCAAGACTCCTTGGCTTCCTTGCCATTGCCTCCACCTTTCATATCCAGCTTGGACCCCCCACCTGCTCCACCGCTTGACCCCAAATTCATGAAAGACACGAGGCCTTCTTTCAAAAGCTCTGGCCAGCTGGGGTCCTCCCAGGAGTCCTTGAGGCGGCCTTCAAACAAGGAGGAGAACAGCAGACCACCGCTGCCCCTGATCACCACGGAAGCACTACAGATGGTGCAGTTGAGGCCCGTGAGAAAGAACTCGGGCACCGAGGTAGCTCTGTTGTCTGAACCAGTGGCTCAGGAACAACGAGCTCCGACTGCTCCACAGTATCACTTAAAGCCATCTGCTTTCCTGAAATCCCGAAATAGCATAAATGAAATGGAGAGTGAAAGCCAGCCTGCCTCTGTGACAAGCTTGCTTCCAACGCCTGCCAAGAACCCAAGTCAGGGTGACCATGACAGTGCAGCGGAGCATGGCAGCCCTCTGAGCCTTAGGCATGGGGCTCCAAGTCCTGGGCTGGGCACTGAGGAAGCAGAGGTTCCACCTGGCCCCAGCACTGCCCCTCTCCCAGACTCTTCACCCAGCAGGAAGCCACCTCCCATCTCCAAGAAACCCAAACTGTTCCTGGTGGTGCCACCTCCACAGAGAGATTTTGCTGCAGAACCCTCTGAGAACAGGAGGGAAGTCTTCCGAAACTCCATCCGGGCAGAGGAGGTTTCTGTGCACAGCAGAGAGGCAAAAGAGAGTTCTGCAGCCCCAGCCGGTTCTCATGCTACGGACCCCAGCAGCTCAGTTCTGGAGGGAGGAGCTGCAGGATCCCTGTATCCCAGCAGAGTGGAAGCCAATGTCCCCATGGTACAGCCTGATGCCTTACCAGCCCCCACGCAGGAAGAGCCAGCCGTGAACAGTGTGGATGGTGGGGGCAATGCGGAGAGCTGCCTCTCTGAACAGGAGGGAGAAGGTAAGTCTGGCTTCCCTTGCTGTGCACCTCTGATCATCTATCTGCAGCTAAGCCAAATAGGGCTACTGAATGCTCTCATGTGGAACCCGCGTAGACCAGATAAGATTTATGGTAAAGCAGTGGGTGGGCTTCTTCAACATTAAATTACCAACTTTTCATTTTATGAAATATTTTTAAAACTCAGGTCTAATGTAAGAGCTTGCAGAATGATATAAAATAGGGAGGTGGGGGTGGTCTGCAGCAGGCTAGGTATGAAATAACACTGAGTAATCTCCCTTCTGAAGAGCTGCAAAGAAATGTTCTAACAAAATTTAAGAGCAATTGAGTACAAGTTCTGTAACAGAAAAGAATGAGTTCTGGCTGTCAGGCTGGTGTCATTTCCCCCATCTTTGTAAAATCACAAACTATAGAGCCCGCTGCATTCCCTGTGGTTCTTAGATTGTCAGGAGTGGCAGGGAAGCAGCATATTTCAGAGCTTGGCGAAGGACTGAAATTCTAGTCATTGTGCATCTTGTGTCGCCTGCGTGTGTGTTTCTCTCAGCTGGGGCACTGGAGACCAATGCTGCCGGCTCCTCCTCAGAAGCCTGCGACTTCCTCCTTAAGGGGGATGGGAGTGACGAGGTGATGACCCCCACCAGACCCAGGACCACAGAAGACCTTTTTGCAGCTATTCACAGGTATCACAACTCCTTCCTTAATTCTCTTTATAATTCCTTCTTTCCAAATGGTTCCTCTACTTTGTTTTCTTGATGCTTCTCCCGCCATCCAGTCTCAGCTCATTGACTTTATTATTGATTTTTTAGTGTGTTTCTTTCTGTGCCTTTATTTCCTCTGACTCCAATTTCTGTTTTACTCTGTTCACTGATTCTGACAATGATATTGGGAACAGAGTCTTAATATGATGATTTCTGGTAGACACTGCTCTGTGACAAGAGACAATGTGTCAGTCATATGACAGTGTTTTACAAGAATCAGATTAAAGCAGCTGGTGATCCAGGTCAGGTGAGAAACGCTGTGGCATTGGACTTAGGAGGCACAGACGAGCTCTACAGAGCTCCCTTCGTAAGGGTGTTTAGTTTATTATTATGTTTTTCCATTTTACAGAAAAACCATAATTTTATGGTATAGTTTCTTTGGTCCTTAAATGTTTCAATAAGAGTACATCTCTTTTTAAGCAGGAGCAAAGGAAGTAAATTTGCTTGTTACCATATGCCACTAGTGCCATCTACTGGCATTGGAAATTGTTGAGTTAAAAAAGTATAGGTTCATTTTTTCAAAATAAACTGCCAAAACTATTAGTTTTTCATATGCGGTCACCTTAAGAGTAAATGCGATTGAGCACTAACATTTCATTTGCTGCATCATTTTTCTGGTTATAGCTGAGTGGTCCCATAATAATGTCATTATAAAAATTGATAAGATTATCCATGTGCAAGTATTTTAGGCCATAATGATACATAAAGCTTTTGCTTCCTTCTAGACTTCGTTATCAGAGACTTTCAGATTTTTTGGGTAACCATTATGAATGCCCTTATGCTGTCAAGACCTCTTTTTCCCCCTGATCCAAGGTCCTTTTTTTCCTCCTGAAATAAAGCATGCATAAAATCCTTTGATTCTGTACATAAACAACCATGTCAGCACTGTCCTTGAATTCTTGGAATTTAGCTGAAAAAAAAAAAACAAAAAACTGTTACATGACATGCAAAGAATGGTGCTGTCCTTACCTGGAACTCCTTATTCAAATATAAACATGTAACCTGGGAGAAGCCAAGCTGGCAAATTGAGGAATATGTGAAGATTATGGTTTTTGCCTCCCAGCCTAAATATTGGTGTAATAGACCCTGAAGACTGCCCCCTGCAACATTTTCCAACTGGCTTCTTGATCTCATTAGAAATGAAAAAGTAGGTAGTTATCCAACTACTTCTCAAAACAGGGAAATGAAAAATGTTGCATCTTTTTAAGCCAAATTTAGTGGCATTTCTAGAAGTTTACACAGATGTTTCTAACTTTAACCATGCTAGACACATAATAAGCACTCAATAAATATTTTCTGAATTAAACGAGACCAATTGGAATTTAACTGTCAGGAAATTCTTCCAAGACTCAAAGTCTTTCATTTAGTATGGAATGTATTGAGTTGCTAAATATATAGTAATATATATTTATAATAGCAAGCCCCAAGGATGTGTGTTGCCTGGTTGCTCTGTGTACTAAATACTTAGTCTCAAGGAAACCCAACTGTTGTGGAGCCAAATGACTGCATGCTTTTCCTAAAAATATGCCAAAGGTCTCTTCTACATTTTATTTTGGCAACCTTCAGAAGGAACTGAAAATTTTGTGGTTTCTCTTACTAGACAGTTACATCTACTACAGATGTAGAAATTGGCCAGTCTGTATCATTCTCTGTACACATGAGAGAAGTAAAGTCCAAGTAGCCTTAGGAATGAATTCTGAAAAGAAAGCAAGGACACACATGGATTTCTGTTGTAGTATTAATACTGTGTTAGCAGATGTTATCTGAAGTCTGTGATATTTAGGGCTTTTTTTTTTTTTTTTCATGTCCTTCAGCACCTAAATTCATAATTTAAAATAAAGGCTATCTAAATTGAAACACAGCTTTCAAATGTTATAATGCAAATTAATTCATTTCAGATTTAAAGCCAGATGGAAAGTGTAGAATGCCAGTTGAGGTGTGAAGTTTTTATATTTATTGAAGTAATTAGCTTTTAAGACAGTGTTAACTGTTTGAGTACTTCTTACAGACATCTTTAAAATTCATACCTACCTAGGTATACATAAGTATGTGTATATACGCAAATAATCCATTTGTTCAAATTGAATTCTGATTTTAAGGGGCAACTGCTCTTGAGGACCAACAAAGCTTTTCTAAAATCCCATCTTCTTTTTAAATTCTAAATCTACACTTAATGGCCATATCTTTTATCAAGCATAGTTGTAGCTTATTTTATGTACCTCAGGACACCTTCACCATCTGAAAGCCAAACAAGAAATTACACCACAGACCAATACCTAAAGGACTGAGATGAGCAAAGCTGCTTCAGGGGACAAGCAGTGTTGGTTGTGGGGCCATGTGCTATAAGTGGAACGAAACTCCTTCAAGTCCCAGCTGTCCCAAGCAGCTGTGAGCTTTCACCCTCTAGACCTCAGCTACCTTCTCTACAACCCAAAGTGGTTGGACTATCTAAATTCTTCTCTTCTTCTACAATTCTGAGATGTGCTTATTTCTGTGCTGTCATGGGTCATTCACTTAGACCAGGCCACTATTCTTGTTGATTGCTGAGCAGGACCATTGAACCAAGGTACCATAGGCACTCGTGTTCTATCAGTTCTGGCCACCCTCATACCCTTGTCTTGGGTCTTTATCACTTCCTGTCCTCCATTTTGGTAGCTTCTTTTCAGCCCAAAGTGGGAGACAACCTTTGGAACACCAAAGTGTCCTAAGTAGCCAACAGGGGCCCAACCTTCCCTCTGCCTTACTACATAGGCCATATAAAAAATAAAGCTGGACTGATGGCAGGAAAGAAGAACTCATTTTCCTATATGGCACTCAAAGCTTTGTTAAGCACATCTCTCACTGATGGCTATTATAGCATTGATCTTTATTAAGGAAAAATGAGCTATACACTATTATTTCCTCTTTTCAGATAGATAACAAAATAGAAAATCTAACTTGACCAAGGTCACACAACAAGAAAATCTTTAGAGGTGGGATTTAACCTTGGCTGTGTGACCCCAGAGGTTCTTTACCTCATCTCATCCAGCAAACATCCCCTAAGTACAGGGACTGAGGTGCAGCAGGAATGGGTATCTTGCCCCAGCTTACAAGCTAGAAGATTGGTAGTTTTTTGATTCACCTCTTAATCTATGTGTGCCATTACCATATTCTCAAACTTTACCTGCTACCTGAGCTAGAATTTAGTAGCAGGAGAAAATAAATACCCATGTCTTTATTTTATTAACTGTGTCAAGATTCCTTATAGCAAGTTTACCCACAGTTAGCTGAAGAGACGTCACACACTGAGTAACTATCTATGAAGAACCATCAAGGGGCACTTGGCCCATCTGCTGCATTCTGTTTCCCAGCACTACTGTGCACATTGAATGGAAGATTTTTAGAGACCCAAAGCAAGACCTTCACACAGAAAACCTTATACTTCCTTTGATCAGCCTCTCCTCTTGCACACATTGCCCCATCCCTCTTATTTTCTATCTGATCCGTGTGAGGTTTTCTAAAGTCATGAAAGTCTGTGGCACAGTTGGCTTTTTTGTTTTCTGGAAAACTAGATTTCTAGAGGTTGACACACAATCCTGTAAGAGCAGAGGGAAATGAATTTTATGTCAAACTCTAGAATGACAGAAAGTATCATTTTTTTACCCCCTAGAGTTGTTCTAAAATGTGGGTCATGTCTTAGTTTAGAGGATATTATGGGGACCACTCATCTGTTAGGCCTGTTCAGGCACAAGCACCCACCAAGACAAGCAGGAGTAGAGAGCAGGGTAAGCAGAAGTTCACTTGGGATCAGCCCAGTCTAGGGGCGTTGGCTGAAAAATGGCAATTACTGAAAATTGGAAATGGACCTATGCGTGTTAGGTAATTGGATACCTGAGTTCTGTTTCCCACGAGAGTGGAGAGTGGCCACAGTTGATGATCATCATGTGCCATTATGGAATAATTCTCATAGGAATAATAATAATTCTCATAGGAATGCAGCAAACTTCCCCCCCACCCCAGGGTGTTGAAATTTCCCATAGTTAAAATACTTTTTTTTTTTTTTTAAAGCAAATCTTAAGTAACTGAAGGTGTGCTTAGAGCGTCAGGGTGACTGTGGCAGAGAGTACTGAGAAATGACCTTTATCTCAATGTTATCTCAGATCCAAAAGGAAAGTCCTTGGCCGTAAAGATTCGGAGGAGGATCACTCCCGAAACCATTCTCCCTCCCCGCCAGTGACACCCACGGGCGCTACCCCCAGCCTGGCCTCTCCGAAGCAAGTGGGGTCGATTCAGAGAAGCGTGCGGAAGAGCAGCACCAGCAGCGACAACTTCAAAGCTCTGCTGCTGAAAAAGGGAAGTCGCTCCGACACCAGCGCCCGCATGTCGGCGGCAGAGATGCTCAAGAACACAGACCCGCGGTTCCAGAGGTCCAGGTCCGAGCCTGCGCCAGACACCCCCGAGAGCCCATCAAGCTGCTCCCCCAGCAAGAACAGAAGGGCCCAGGAGGAGTGGGCCAAGAACGAAGGCTTGATGCCGCGGAGTCTGTCCTTTTCCGGGCCCAGGTACGGCCGCAGCCGCACGCCCCCCTCTGCGGCCAGCAGCAGGTACGGGGTGCGGAACCGCATCCAGAGCAGCCCCATGACCGTCATCTCTGAGGGTGAAGGGGAGCCCGTGGAGCCTGCGGACAACAGGGCTCACCAGGCTCTGGACAGCACGAAGGCATGTTCCCTGGACAGACTGGCCGGCGAAGAGATGGACGAGGGCAGCCTGCTGTGCGACGAGGGGCCTGTCACCTCCATGCAACCACGGGCTCCCGGGCGCACCAACGGGGTAGCCAGGACAGAGGACAGGGATCCCCCAGAGCAATGTGGGGGCACTGGGAGGGAGGAGAGTTAGGACCAGATTGGGCCGCTCCCGGGTGATGGGGGAGAGAGCCATGCACCGCTCTAGGGAGCCTGAGGGGCCCTTCCCTGGCTTACTGCTTCCCACTCAGCGTGGGTGCTGTGGGCCCCAAAGCTGCGGGTCCCTTAGGATTCACTGGCCACTTGCTGTTGTGGCTTCAAAGCAAGTAGAAGCTTAAACTTCTGAAAGTGCTTCCTGGGGAAGATTTGATTTTTTTTCCCCCAAAAAAATGCTGGGTGTGTGTATGTGTGTGCATTTTGAACACTTTTTAACAAATACACACTCACACACAATACTGTACAGAAATAGAAAGTAAGTCAGAGTTAATAGGTAGAGTAATGGAGTCTTCTGGACTAGGTGGTGACTGCTTTCAAAGCATTATGCTTATGGAAATGAGTGAGTTCCCTAGGAAGGGAGAAGTCATTACTTCTAAGAAAGAGGTGGTAGTTGGTTGGTTCTTAATGCAGAACACATGGATATTTATGCTCACCAAGGGGAGGCAGGGCTAGCCAGGAGCTGGTAAAGGCTAAGCAACTAACTGGTTCAGGTACTTTTCTCTGGGGGGGAAGAAGGCTTTGTTTCTTTTTTGTAAAAATGGCAAAAACATGGAAAGTGGCAATGCTGAAACTTGGTGCCCGCTGCTGTGCAGCCACATACACACAACTTTTAGAGCCTGAGGTTTAGAAGCGTGGGCAGTTTTTAAGTGAATTCCCTCCTTGAGTAGCAGCTGAGTCCTTCTTGGAGAACTGAAGTGATAGTGGAGACTTAGAGGGAGGGAGAGAGGAGAAGTGAGGGCAGAGGAGAGGAGTAAGTGATACACTGATGGAATCTATTTCCTGCTTATTAAATAAAGTTATTTTTCAGAATTAAAGTTGAAAACTTGCACTACAGAACTGTGGGTGAAGCTGTTCCTTTTACAAGAGTTTTGTAACCAGAGTTTAAACTTCCATTTGGCCATTTCTATAACTTGAAATGTCAACATTTGCTAACCTTTGGATATATCCTTTTGGTTACACCAAAGAAAAAAATATTGCTATTTTTTTTTCCTTGAATGCCTGCAGCATTATGTCCTAATTTAGAAAAGTTTACCAAAATTTATTATATATTATCTTACTTTGAAGAAAATGCTGGATAGCTCTTGTTAGTCAAATAAATTGATAAAAATTGGTAGGGTTTGGCTATTAATTAGCCCTGGGAAATGAGTTTTTAGATTAAAAAGATTTTTTGCATCATTTGGTTTGTGTGTTCTTATATTTGTTTATAAATAATTGAGTTGCTAACTACCTTCTAATTTTCTCCAATTAGAATTTCAACACTTTTAGATATGGGAGAAAGGTGTGTGAAGTATTTATTTTAATGTAATGTTCTTGCGACTCTCCTTCCCTCCTGACTTCCACATACTTAAAATGCAACATACAACAGTTTTGCCTTCTTATATAGGACGACAATACTGAGATTTTTGTTCTAAATCCAGTGCAACTGTCAATTTCTTTTTCTTTTTTCTTTTATGGTATGAAAATCTCACATCTAAAAGTTGGACTGCACACATCAAATCATTCTAAGGTTTACAAAATAAAACCTTTGATACCCATCTTACACATGTCTTTGGGGCAAAAACAAACCTAATGAATTAAAGGCTCCTTTTCTTCTCTGAGGAATTAACACCTTCCTTTCACACAACCAGATATGGCATTTGGGCCTGAGTAAAAGGGATTTTTATCCTTTTGGGTAATTGTCTACTACATGGGGCACATGGATCTTTTCTTGTAAATTTTAGAAAAGAAGTGTTGACTTTTGAATATGAAGTCTTCCCATAGCTTCCTGAAAAGGATTAGAATGTACATGGACAAAAAAATCTTGAGCTTAATATATAAATCATTTATTTGAAGGCAAAGTAAGCAACATCAAAACTAATTAAAAAACCACTTAAAATCCCCATTTTACAAGATACATATTAGGTTTTGAATTTGTTTTGAATAAAAATCATTGTGAAGTCAATATTTGAAACTTACTCCTTTTTGTTTATATGTGTATTTTTTGAATAAAGAGATAGGGCATCTTTTATAGAAAGGTTGAGGTCTTTCCTGGGTACCCACAGAATGTCAGTGAAGACCAGAAGGTGGCTGTGGAAGATGGGGACTCAACAAAAAGGAAATAGAAATTTGCAGAACTGAATGGTGCCAACCAAAAGGGTAAATGGAAAAGCAACTCAATGTCCCATGGACTTTTGAATAAAATATGAATAATGAATTGACTGGTCATTTGAATATGATGCAACATGTGCAGAGAAAAGAGAGCATCTTACTGGCGTGGAGGATATATAGGTAAACAAGAATCTAGACTCATCCTTGAAACATCCTGTGTCCTCAGGATGTTTTGCTACTTTATTCTTCTGTGGGGCTTATGTTAGTGAACTGAATCGTACTCAGAAGCATGAGGGTAAACTAGAAAGCCCTGCTTAGATGAGGTAGTCAATAGAAGCCCCAGAACTAAATTACTTCCACTTTATTTTTTCTGTGAGTTGGAAATAAATGGGCATTCAATCTGTCAGTTGTTAACAGTTTCAACTTTGGTCTAATTTCTGCCCTGCTATTTCTGCAGAATCTTGATTGGAATCTGTTATTTCTCATGTGGGAATGAGAGTATACAGTTGGCCCTCCATAGCTACAGATTCTGCATCCATGCCAATAGAGTGAATCCATATGTATTCTCTCTCCTTCCCCAGATCGAATGACCACGTGCACCACCAAGTATTCTGGCCTTTTGAAGAAAGATTGCAAAAGTTTTTGTTTTGTTTTGCAGTTGTCTTTCAATGTCACTCTTGAAAGAGGGTCCCTTTCAGCTTGCAACAACACAGTAAGCTAATTCATGGATAAACCAAGCCAAGCTTTTTCTTTTGGTGAACCATACGGGCCCTCCAAATAACCACAGGAAGGGAGGGATACAGATGCAACCATGGGGACATGGTGGTTGGGCTACCTGCTCCAATGTCTTGCAGATGTCCTCTGGCCCTGCTTGTGACCATTCCTGTATGGTTTTCTGCCTTATGATGGACTGAAGCTAGTCCTATTAACTTTATAAGTTGGTGGTTCTGATAGGACTTAGATAAGATGGGTAGCACGGACACCAGCATCATTTGGTATCTCACGTTTTCATCTTTGTGACCACTCAGTTCTCTCCTGTGGTTAGCACACCCTTGTTTCTGGAACCCAGGAATCTGCACTGTGATTCTCTCATTGGGTCTTGTCATATATTCCACACTCATTTTTTTTTCCACCAGTGACACCTTAGCACCATAGGGACTACCCATATCACATGATCCAACCTGGTAATTCCTTTACATCTGTCACTTCTAGGTTCACTTCTAATTATGAATCATATTTTTCTGTTATTCTGATTTTACTGATTTTTTAAATGGATGTTGGGTATTTTGAATATTATATTGTTTGTTGATAGATTTTGTTTTATTCCTTTAAATACTATTGGGCTTTATTCTGATGGACTGCTAAATTTCTTGTAATTAAATTGATCCTTTCAAAGTCTGCTTTTGAGCTTTGCTAGAGGAAGTCCAGAGAAGCTTTTGATCTAGGGACAATTTAAGAGACCATTCTTTTCCCAAAAAGATTCTACTTGATGCCGCACACATTTTGAATTATTTCTCCTCTTGTCACTGGGAACATAAACTATTCCAGTTTCACGCATGATCTGTGAATTATTTGTTCAACTACTTTGCAATCAATCATTTATTTCTTGGTTTAGGTAATTTTCCTTATACTTTCATTCAACCAAATACTCAAAGGGACCCACTGCAGATCTACAGAGCAGATCTCTCTTTCTGTATGCTTGTTCCTCTTCTCATTTACTGTGCTGCACAAAGTCTGCCCACTTGGTCTCCTATAACCCTGTTCTCTGTTTCCTCGACTCAGGAGACCACTGGTCTGTGTTTGGCTTCAAGCTCCTCAGCTGCTGCCTAGAAACTGCCTTCAAGCCGTTATTAGCTTGAGTGATCATTCAACTCACTTCGATCCCCTACTTCTTCTCTGAGGCCATACTCTTACGCTGTGACCTTTTCAATGTCAGTAAAACATTGTTATGAGTATTTTCTAAAGGTTTTGGTTGTTTAAGATGGAAGGTAAATTGAGTCCCTATTTCACCATCATGGCCAGAAGCAGATGTTCCCATGAGGGGGTCTTTAAGAACATTGCTGAAGGCTGCACTAATCTTGATTTACTGCCCTGATCAAGGCAGAGGAGACTGAGAGGCTTATGCTCTTTCCCCACCAGGTCAGAGAACCAATGTGGTTATTCTACCTGCCAATTATACTCTTAGGGATTAGGGAAATAACCAGTGGTAAGTCTATAAATTCAAGGGACCTGATGTAGGCTAAACTTAGACTAGAACTGTGTTTATTTTCCAATTTCCATGTGTTCCTAGTTTTATGGGGAATGAGGAGCCATAATAAAACTTTGGGTTTCTGGGTTTCAAATTTTATTTTGTTAGTTATGTATTTATTAGCTTAGGTACAGGGTATTAAACTCAAATACTTAACTATTGAATCACATCCTCAGCCCTTATTTTTTTGTTTTTGTTTGTTTGTTTGTTTTGAGCAGGGCCTCACTAAGTTGCTTATGGCCTTGGTAAGTTGCTGAGGCTGGTTTCAAACATGCAATCCTCCTGCCTCAGCCTCCCAAGTTGCTTGAATTACAGGTGTGTGCCACTGCACCTGGCTTAAATGCTAATTTAACCCCCATATTCCCAGGTATTCCTCTTTCCCCAGTGTGTAGCCACCTAAGTAAATGGTCATATGTCCCTTTAGAGGAAGGCTGGAGTAATCTTAACTGTGTACACTCACAGAAATGGTGGAAATGTTGTAGAAACCTTTCCGCTGGGGCCCAGTCATCTCTTCCATCATGAGTTTTGGAAAACTGGCTCAGCTCTGGAAACTGGGCAAGGATTCCTGGTGTTTGTTTTATTTTATTTTATTTTTTTCTGTGTTCTCTCTCAGCCCCTACTCATTCACCTTGCCCTCTGTTGATTTTCTGTTTGGTTGCTAGGGATACCATGTCCTATTAAGCATCTCCATAAGATTTTACAAGTCAGGACCCCTGTTTGTATCTGCCATTTTGAGCTTGGTGTTCAACATGATAATGGTGTCGCCCTGGCTTCTGTGGTTAGCATTGCCCCCCTGGGCTCTTCTGGGTCTCAACATCATCTACATTGACTCAGCAAACCAAGTTCCATCACAGCATTTCCAGCCAATATGGACTGTATAGGAGAGTCACCACTGAGCTCCTGAGAAGTACTCATGACCTTCTCCGGGTCACCCCCAATAGCCTTGGTAAGTAACGGGTCATTGTGACCTTCCCCAGAGAAACATTCCTCTGATGGGCCATTTTGCCTCACATATCCATCCCAGCATGCCCCCTTCTCTGGGATCTTTCACTCCTTCCTGTTATCTGACCAGCAAATTCAGGCTTTTCAACACTTCTCTCATTTTTCTAGGCTTCTGTGAGCCAGCCCAGAGCAGTGAGTTCACACTGTCTTCTGGTGTTTTTCTCAAGGTGTTAAATGCTGTATCTTTAGAGTTGTTCCCAGCTCAAGAAATTCTCCCTTATCTAGTGTTGTAAACCCCATATCTTTAGTCAAGCACCCCCAGAATCTAGTCCCAAGGCTACTCCTGTGCCCTTCCCAGTGCAGTCCATTTCTTCCCTCACCAGAGCAACACAGCCCCAGCAGGTTAGTTGTGACTTAGCTCTGATTTTAAGCCTAGAAGTCATGACAAGGGATGGGGAAAGCTCCTGTAGGACACCTGTTGCCTTATGGTGGAAAGAACACAGTCTTTCCTTATGGTAGGATAGCAGAAGGGGGCGGGAGTAGTTCTAGCTTAGTGAGGAAGGGTGGGTCTCTTCTTCATGCTCAGCATGTTGAGAAACATTCTGACTCTTAGGAGTCAAAATTGTTGGGGGCATCCCCCCAAATTGTCCCCATGATGGGATTCAGGTCCCGAGGTTTGACTCTGACCTCGATGTCACAGATTGGGCTTGGTTGGACACTGGTAGTGAGCTAGTTTTATCACCAAAATCTGTGCTTGACCTTCAGAATTTTCTGTTCAGTTGCTGTAAGAGATGAGGACTTGACCACAAAGAGAGGGGATCTTAGTTGTTTTTAAGTTGTTTGTTAATTGACCTAAGCTTTTCAATACTATCTGTAGAACATTCATCCAACTGGGTAATAACCATTCTACTCTATTGCTCTTGTATTTAGTATCCATACTTCCCCCCATATTTGAGACAACAGATTTACCCACCAGTCATGGCACTCCCTTTCACCACTCCATCTAGAATTTTACTAACTAGACAGCTTCTTCATGCCTGGGGCTCTCTGTGCTCACCTTCACTAGGGATGGAGACTCATAACCAGCCAGTCTCAAAATGTTGTCTTTCTGTATATGTGAATGAACCACTGATACCAACTGAGCCAATCTGAGACTGAGATGAAGTATAAAGATGTATATTGAAATTGCACCTCTGAAAGGACAAGGAATTGTTGGATGGAGCACTTGAGCTTTTTGTTGAATTGCAATACAGATTGACATAATTTCTACCACCCTGCCAGGAAGCTCTAGAGGAAACTATTTATTAGAGGAGCCCTGACTTGGACAGAAACAACTATGTCTTGTATCTCCACCTTGGTTGGTCACTGGCTGGAAGTTGGTAGAAAATGGTATGCTGTTGACACCCACTGCTTCTCCCAGTGATAGGCTAGGTGCTCCCCTGGAGATACTGTGTCCTTAACTTGAAATCTGAGGTGACCCTGAAGATCATAAAAGCTGAAAGCTGGGGCTGGGGTTGTGGCTCAGTGGTAGAGCGCTTGCCTAGCAAATGTGAGGCACTGGGTTCGATCCTCAGCACCACATAAAAATAAATAAAATAAAGATATTGTGTGTTGTGTTCATCTGCAACTTCAAAAAAAAAGCTGAAGGCTGTATCTGAACCACAGTCCTCACTGCTGGGCAGCTAGTAGTTTTTTTTAAACCACTCAAGAAAACAATTTATTTAGCTGGAATATATAGCAAGCTGTTTTCTTGAAGGTAAATCTTGACCAGCTCACTCCATGGGGTTGTCTGCCACTGCTCCAAATCCCAGAAAAGAAATGACCGTTCTTTGGTCACAATAACAAATAAGTACCAGGAATAGTCAGTGACAGCGTGGCATCAGTAACCTCACTTCTAAACCAGGCTTCCGAATCCTGCTAATCAGCAGACGCCTCGCTCTGGTAACCGCACCTCCACAACGACAGCTCAGTCAATCCCTGGATGCTTTTGAAAGTCTGTTAATCCCTGGACTCTCTGTTTCCTAAAACCCTGTGTAAAGTCAGCAGCTTTCTTTATCCAGAGAGATGGTGCCCAACAAGCACAGATGTCCTGCTCAGCAACCTGTCTGTGGAGCTTTTCAGCATGGGCACTGAATCCCGCCTCTTGGGTGCTGACCCCTCTACCCAGTATGCTCCCACCTCTGCACCGAGCTTCTATCTTTCACATCTCCAGGGTCTCTTCAGAGAGGCCTTTCCTGACCATCCCATGTGACATCCACCACACCCTACTGAGCCCTACTGCAGCATCCCACTGCCCTAGTTCACTTCTTTCTTTTTCTTTTTGGTACAGTGGATTGACCCAGGGGCACTAACCACTACACCACACCCTCAGGCCTTTTTTGTACCATTTTTGTGGTGCTGGGGATTAAACCCATGGCCTTGTGCAAGCATTCTACCAACTGAGCTATATCCCCAGCCCTCTTTTTTGTACTTTTATGTAGAGACAGGGTCTTGCTGAGTTGCTTAGGGCCTCGCTCAGTTGCTGAGACTGGCTTTGAACTCACGATCCTCATGCCTCAGCCTCCTGAGTCAGCTAGGATTACAGGCATGTACCACCACAACCAGCCCCAGTTCACTTCTTGATGGCAAGTGCCACAACTTCAGATCACCTTCTTTGTGTAGAACTGCCCCATCCTCTGGAACACGAGGTCCATGAGAACAGGCCACTTCTGTCGTGTGCACAGTTGTCTCCTCAGTAGGAAGCTGAGCTAAAGCGAAGAGTGAAAGGTGGTCGCTGGAGCTGGGAAACAAGAAGTCACTGACAAAGGATGGGGCAGCATGTTTCCTCTGCACTATATCCCAGCCCCTCATGGGGTGCCCACAATGCAGGCTCCATAAAAACCTAAAGAATGAGTAAATGTCATTTCAGGGAAATGTTTAAGGAGAACAGCCAGAATTTCAGGAAGACAAGTAATGCCTAGGAAAGAGTGGATAAATGCCGTGAGTTTCAAGGAAGCCATTACTTGTCAGAATCTGTGCCTATTTTGAGCAGAGTGATGGGAGCATTTGGGAGAGAGGCACTGCAGAGGAGAGGGGAGAGTTCATTGGTGAAGCAAAAATTAGATCAACAGCTCAAATGGAAGGCTGAGCCTTAGAAAAGGGTCTAGACATATATTTCCCATAGGTAAGATAAGGAAAAAGATGCAAAAGAAATGTTAACATAAGGGCTATTTCATGACCAGCCACATGATTAAAATAACAATTCATTGCTATGAGAAATACTTTCTAGGCTGATTAATTTATGGCTGAAAAAAAGTCTTAGTTTTAAGGAGGAAGAGGGGGAAAATGGGATACTTTGAACTCAAATGGTATAAAATCAAGTTTTTCTTGAACATGTTTTAGATTACAACTGAATATTGGTTATCAGAAATATGCTTCTCTCATTTAAGTGAAATTTATTGCATGTGTGACACATGTTTTGTATAGGACTATAGGTTGAACTTTAGAAATATTTGCCTCATAACAGTAGAGGTTAGTACTGTGGACATTCATCAGTAGAAGAGCTAACAGACATCTTCTAGTAAGTGATGGTAAATGTGCTATAAAAGAATCTTAATTTATTTCTGGCAAGCATAAATGTGCAAGGAATCAATAAATTTAATATGCAACTCAAGGAAATATATTCAGAAAATAATTGCCTAGAATTTTAAAATTTATATCCATAATAATTTCCAAGCCAGAAATCTAGCTTGTTTTTTTTTCTATCAAATATTACAATCTCAAAGGTATCGCTGAGATCATAATCACATGAATTATTTCTATGCAGGAAGAACACTACCACACAGTTTTCCTGTGGGGCTTAGAAGGCAACAGCATGGAGTTAGAAGCCAGACTGCCTGGGCTCATATCAGCCTCTGCCCTTACAGTGTAGTCTACGGCAAGTTACCTAACAGCTCTGTGTCTCAGTTCCTCATCTGATCAAATGGGGATGATCAAATGTGGGTTGTTCTGAGGGTCGAATGTGATAATTCAGGTGCTACACTAAGAATAGCACATCTAGAAGGCAATGTATAAACACTGGCTATGGAAATCATTAACTATAAGGATGTTGGTCTACTGCATCTGGATTAGGGAGACTAATTTTAAAAGATAATGTTAGGGTTGAAAGGACCTCAGGCATCACCAGGCCCATTCAACCCTCTGGATACTCACATCTCCTATGTAAGCAATCGTCTCCTGAGAAGTGACTGTGTGTCCGTCCTGTGCTTAAGCAGGCAATGACAGAAGCAGTACCACCCGTGGGCAGCTGTGATTGTTGGAAAATACTGAGCTCCAGCCTGCTTTTCTCCCCCACTCCTAAAGCCACCATCCCCAGGAGCCCACAGCAGAGCTACAGCCCTTTCCACAACTGGCTTCCAGGGACCAAATGTGACTTTATCTTCCCTAGGACAAGCGTTTTCCAGCACCATTAGACAAGGACCTCTATCTGCATTTTACAAATCATTTTGTAACTGTGGAAATATGACATGAAACAATCTAAGAACTCAAGTGAATTCTTAAATTATATGTCTGTGTTTATTTCTTTAATAAGTATTTATTTATTTGACAATGCTAAGGATTGAACCCAGGGCCTCATGGTTGCTAGGTGAGCTCTCTAACACTGAGCTACATATCCAGCACAAAACATGCCTTTATGGGATGTCATACAAGACAGGAAGTCCCTAGCTTCATAAACGTATTCTCTGTCACTGAATATAATCAACACTTTTGGGTAAGAGCTTTCTTGTGCAGGGGGCATTGGCAGAGGCTCAACAGAGATTGTACAATGGCAGCCGCAAAAGACAATTTATTTTTGTGTCCAACTGACTCTCGCCAGGCCTCCAGGCCTGCTGGCCTCATAGCTCCACACAGGATAAATCTTGAATGTCTTTACTGATATTATCTGGAAGGAAGAACATCCATGGACTCAAATCCAAGCAGAAGAAGGCAACATAATTGTGATATTGTGAACAAGACAGAAGTTTGTGACCCATTTACATTTACAGACTTTGTCCCCTGTTATCTGAATATCTAAACAAAGCTTCAAGCATTAAGAAGGCACATTGGAAATAAGCTCAATTCATAGTGGTACTCTCAAGTTAGAAGATACCGCACATAGCTTTACTTCTAGGAGGGGTTGATGTCTGCAATTAGAGCAAAGGCGTGCCCCAGGCAATGAACTTCCTTTCACTTTCTCATTCAAGAACTTTGGAGGGTTCACTCTTCTGTATCAACCACACTTCATTGTTTCTGTTGAGCAATTTGAAAGGACTGTTGTAGCCCGCGGTATAGAAAACCTTTTCGTCAAAAACTTTCCCTTCTTCCCTCAAAATGCTTGCTAATGTCAAAAGCTGTTCTTGATTCTTCTGGGCACTAGAGAATCCATCGAAAGACCTACAAAGGAGAAAATAAATAAGCATGAGTGATTTCCTTACTGACACTAGAAGAGCAGGAGCTGGTACCCTAACACTGGATTCAGTGCAGCTTCTAACCACTATACTGACCCTTCTGGTCCCACAGCTCCCAGTCCCATGTGACCTCGAACCCACTGAGGAGAACCAGGAGGACACCTAGGTCCCATTTGCTGACAGGCAGATTTGGAACTTACAAGATCTCATATTCTCAAACCTGTGCTCCTCAAACTTCACTGGGCATAAGAATTATTCTGGGATCTATTAGAAATACATTTAGGAGATCTGCGGAAGGGCTTTAGAATGTATGTCTAGCAATTTCCCAGATATGTGCTGATGCTCCTGGATACAGAACCACACTGAAATCCCTTTAGATACCCTCTTTCCGTTTCTTTCCCCTTTTTTTTCTTTCTTCCTTCCCCTCTCTTCCTCCCTCCCTCCCTCCCTCCTTCCCTTCTTCCTTCCCTTCCTCCCTCCCTCCCTTCCTTCCTTTCTCTTTTCTCTTACTCTTTTCCTTTCCTCCCTTCTCTCCCCTCTACCCCCAGGGTCTTACTATGTTATCCCGGCTGTTCTCAAATTCTAGGATTCAAATGATTCTCCTGCCTCAGACTCCCAAGTACCTGGGACAAGAGGCACATGTCACTATGCCCAGATCAGAATGTCAGTTTTCCATTGAACAATTTCCCTGTTTTTCTCCTTTGGGCAAAAAGTAGGCACTGGGTTACAGATGAATATAATTAGTTTAGATCTCTACACATTTATACTCTAATGAAAGAGACCAACATTTATTTGGGCAGCTCTATGTACCCCAAGTAGAGGTAACAGTGGCAGAATCAAAGTTCTACAGGAGCACTGAAGATATGATTAAATTCAGGGTAAGGGGTCTCATCTAAGACCAGAAATGGAGGATGAATAAAGAAAGGGAAGGGATAAATGAGGGATATAAAGAGTACAACACATTTTCATAGTGAGGCATAAAATAAAATCTGAAAGGTGAGTCGAAGCCAGAAGGAAGAACCTTAGTCTAAGGCCTTTTGAGGTTACTGAAAAAGATGTTGAGCAGACAATAACCTGGTCAGATCGGAGTAAGGATAACAAGCAGAGAGATGAACATAGATTGGAGGGGAAGAGCTAGGAGACTGCTATAAAAACAGGAAAGAAAAGATTTAAATAAGATGAGGAAAAGAGTAAAAGTTGAAATATAAATTTTAAAGTATGTAAACAAAAACATTCTGAGATTATATCATGACCTGGCTGAGCTGCTCACTTATGAGTACAATGAATTTGACTTTGAAGGTTAAGAATAAGAAACACAAAACTATTCCTAATTTTTTTTTTTTGGTATAAGTTTCATAATCAATGGGCCAATGAAAAAAATCAGTCCTAACATGAATCATACAAGATTCAGGATCCAAAGAACACAAACTATGTTGATTTTATTCAACAGTTTCTTTCCTGTGCCTGAAATCATTCCTTTTAAATCCACATTGAATAAATGTAAGCATCTCTGTATTCATGTGAAGACAAAGTGAGCTGCCGCAGGAGAGCTGATTCAACTCTGCTTTGTACACAGAATACAATTCTGAGCCTTGTGTTAAGTAACATTTTGGATCCAATATTATTTATTTTTTTAATGAACAGTCAATACTATGTTCAGCCTACAGGAAATTTGTTTTCATATTCCACTTTTTCCTTAAATAGGAATCTTGAAGACACTAATTAGAAGTCGTCTTGTGTTTTCTGAACACTTGTTCTACAACGATCTATCTGCTTCTTTATTCTGTACACATACCTTGTACCCCCAGCCCCAAACACCAATCCTACTAGGAGCTGGAGCATATGGACATGGAGACAAGCTGTCATACTCTTAAGGAGTTTATAAGTAAGTCATTATAACGGAGGAGAAGAATAACAATAGGAGGAAGGGCATTCACAGGGTGAATTCCAGGTTCAGCTCAATGGGCCAAAGGACACAGCCCTTTGTAGAGATAGGCACTGCAGGCCAGAGAAGGGGATTAGGGAATGCTTATTTTTAGAGCTGCTTGGTTTGATCCCTCAACTTCCATCCCCAAATAGAGATGTAACAGGTAGGGAAGCCAGAACTGGAGACAGTCACTAGATATGAGAGTCCTTAGACACTGGGAATTGAAGCAATGTGAGAGGACCACCCACAGCAAGTGTGCTATGAAGATCAACAATGGGCATCAGCAGTGACTCAGAGATGGGGGACCAAGGAGGAGCCCATTGAAGCAAAGAAACAGGAAAGGAATGGTTAGAGAGCACATTGTTAAAGGATAAACAAATATTCAGGAAACAACCTGGTCAATACATGGACACTATGGGGGTCACAGGGAAGAGGACATAATCGTGTGACAAATGTATTGCTGAAGATGGCAAGAGCAGTTTCCAAGGAGACAGTGGGAGCTGCATCAGACTGTGATGGTTCTGATGAAGCCCCAGATGGAAATAAGGAACATGTTTTTGGAACCTGAAAGAGAACTGAACCTTGTTATAATGTAGCAAAGAGCTCAGCTGAACTCTGTTCATATCCTAATGTTATATGAAAGAGCTTAGAAGCGATGAAATAGGATCATTGGGTGAAAGTTTTTCTGAGCAAATGAAGATGTGGCTTGGTCTCTATTGAATTCCTACGGCACAATACCAGAAAGGAGAAACAATTTAAAGACAGAATTTTCTTTTTCCTTTGGTACTGGAGATTGAACCCAGGGGCACTTAATCACACGGAGCCACATCCCCAGATCTTTTTTGTATTTTATTAAAGACAGGGTCTCACTGAGTTGCTTAGGGCCTCACTAAGTTACTGAGGCTGGCTTTGAACTCTTGATCCTCCTACTTCAACCTCTCAAGCTGCTGGGATTACAGACATAAACCACTGTGCTCAGAATCTAAATTTTCAGATAATTGTTAGCCTATCCATATTGAAAGAAATGAAAAAGCTTGCACAGGAGAGAAGAATAAAGCCAAGCAATGCTTTGAAAAGGAAATTATTTTGGCACTGTCATCCATACTGAAGCCAGGACATATTCTCTAAGAGTGGCTCCAAAGGCATTTCAGAGGTTAACCAGGGGGGTTTCCTCTCCTATCCCAGGCTCAGAATATCAACACATGGGAGAAGACCCATTTCAAAGGAGGGGCTTCCGACCCTTTAGGACCTTGGAGCTCAACGCCTAGCACCACCTCAAGGTTCTACTCCCTGCTTTCCAAAGTGACACTCCTTGACCACTCCAGGTTCAGCTCAATGGGCCAACGTGTGACACAGGCCAGGATGTCTGGCCCTCGGGAGGGCACAGGTGATAGATCTTAGCAGCATCCAAACAGTGCCATCTCTGCTAATGTATGGAGTACACAGGCCAAGGGAGTATGGCCACTTCCACTTAGATCCTGAAGGATGGAACTACCCAGAGCCTCAGGTACATGAACCAGACAGAGGGCCACAGCAAGGATAGGGCTACCACAGAGAGTCACCTATAGGGCAATTCCTAATGGAACTGTAGGAGCAGGGCACACCAGATTGGTAGAGCTACTATTGTGCAATTCCAGCCTGGAAGAGCTGCAGGTAGCTGACCACAACCCATGAGAGTGGCATCGGGGGGTAGGGTCACCCAAAGTTATAGTGTAGGGCTACTTGAAGCACTGGGAACCCACTCATGTCCAGCAAAGCTTCAGAGGCATGACCTCCACTCCCGGAGGCCTGGAGGGCAGAGTCTTGAATTAAAAGAAGATTAATCCTACACCTTAAGATTTGGGTCTCTGTTGAGACCTCTTATTCATTTCTTCTTCCCTATTTTTCCCTTTTGGAATGTGAGTGTCTATCTTATGACTGCCCCACTGCTGTATTTTGGAAGCAGAGAACGTTTGATTTCACAGGCTCACAAATGGAGAGAATTTGCCTCAGGATGAATCATACTTGAGTCTCACCCAGATTTGATTTAAAGGATATTTAGATTAGTCTTTTGAGTTGATGTTGAAATGAGTTAAGACTCTAGGCATTACTGGGATGGAATTTATACTATTTTTTTTTTTTTTTTTGGTACCAGGGTATTTAACCAGTGAACAACACTGATAGCCCCTTAATTTTTTTTTTTTTTTATTTAATGTTTTGAGACAGGGTCTTGCTGACTTGCTTAGGGCCTCATTAATTTTCTGAAGCTGGCTTTGAACTTTCGATCCTCCTGTTTCAGCCTCCTGAGCTGCTGGGATTACAGGCATGTGCCACCACACCCAGCTGAAATCAATGCATTTCGTATGAGAGGAGGACATGAACTTTGTGTGACCAGAGTTGGAAAGCTGTGGCCTGAATGTTTGTGTCCTTCCAAAATTCACATGTTGAAATTTTAACCACCAATGTGATGACATTAGGCGGCAGGACTTTGGAAGATGATTAAGTCATGACGGTAGAGCCTTATGAATGGGATTAGTGCCCTTAAAATAGGGTCCTAAAGGAGTTTATTTACTCCTTCTACCATGTGAGAACGAAGCAAGAGGTCCCATGTATGAACCAACAAATAATCCCTCACCAGTCACCGGAACTAGCAGTGCCATAAACTTGAACTTCCCAGCCTCCAGAGCTGGGAAATTTCTGTTTCTTATAAGTTACCCAGTATATGGTATTTTGTCATAGCACCCCTAATTACTAAGATAGGTATCATGTACTGTTTTCTAAGGTATTTTTGTTCAGGTTTACCTGGATTGCAGGTAAGAGCAGCCTTATGTTTGGGGTGATATCGTTTATACTGTGTTTTATATGTGGAAGTCTGCAGTAGACTTCTCATTAAATGAATTGATATATCTTGCAACAGACTTTATTAATATTTAAAACGGGGCTAGTTGGAAAACTTCATGAAGCACGTTAGGCTTGTTTTTATGAAAGAGTGAAAAGCTTGTTGGAATTGCGCAGGAGCTAAACAGCTAGAGTGTGCAAGTAAAATTAGCAGACAGCAGGGCTGTAAATTATCTACCACTTACCGCACAAACACAGTCATTTCAGCTCTGTCTTCAATGAAGACATCTGACTCTGAAGGCCGCGGTGGATCAGATTGCTGTTCCGAGGGGATGTATAGGGAGATGGTAATGGTAGATTCACTAAAAGGACCGGAGCCAGGCTCTACGAAGCTTGTCACTGGAGCTGTCATCTTTATTTTCATCTCTGTGCCATAAAAATGAAAATTAAATCTAGTGGACATGTGACTGCTTTTAAAATTTAACCTATTCTTTAACTGAGTTTCTTAATTTACTTTATAATTCTGATATATTTACCTTCAAGATAATTTGCCTCTTTTTAAAAAAGGCCAAAAAGACTCAATTATTCAGGGTTCACATTAAACCTTTCTGTACTATTGATAATTTTGGTTAATAAATTCTGTACTTTCAGAGATATAAGGGGAATGTGGAGATAACATGGTCTAGTTAATCCTGTTTTCTTTACAGTTCAGAAAATGAGATTCGATAAGCTAAGAGACCTGCCTAAAAATATACATATTTATTTTGGCCAGAGACAAAAGTTATGACTTGAGACTTGAGCCTCTTAATCCGCCATCTTCCTGTCCCCTGATATATATTTTTCTGTATCAGTCACCAAATTATCCTGAAGCATTAGCCCTGGGAAAGGACTTCTCACTAGTTATGCAGAGCCACAAACAGTTCACCCAAAAAGACAAGGAGAAAGGTTGAAAAGTACTACCCAGAGGTACCCTCCTCTAGCCCATGCAAAGGTACTCCAGGAGCATCCTCTGTGAAAAGATCAAGTCTTTGATGGTGTGAGTATTTCTATTATAAAGGATATTTCTGTAAAAAGCTAAAACTCTTACTTAGCCCCAGGTCTCAATCATCACATGCACACTAAGTTACAATTGCTCTTACCTTTCTCGTTTTTGCCTTGAATGTAGCTGTTCAGCTTTGTGAAGCCAGTCTGGATGGCTGAATCCCAGTCCTTAGATTCAACACTAGTGCTGACCCACTTGGCTGGCCCATAGTGTCGGGTCTCATAACTTCCGGCCTAAGGGAAGAGGAAACTTCCAAAGCAATTCCAAGACAGTAGGACATGAGATGCCACAATTCAGGTATCTTGGTCTTTAGTCTTCCTGGAGCCGTCTTGCCTAGGTGTTGCTGGGCCCTAAGGTCCTGGCTCTTTAGGGCCAGGCCTAGCCTCACCCGGAGGTGTCCCTCTTTTGTGTTAGGGTTGGCGACAGCCCCAGCTCCACAGGCTCCGAACCTCAATTCAAGTTCAAAGAAACAGGCATCCATGAGCCTGAAGGTCCCACAGACGGCTTTGGGTCCTAAGCAGTTGCCCCCTACTCCCAGGCCCCAGACAAGAAGCGAAGGTGTGGCCTGCACCCAGGGACACAGCTAAATGACTGAAGTTCTCCTGTTTTAGGAACAGGGTCGCAAGTTGGGACTAGGACCATCCCTAGAAAGGGTATTTTTTACTTAACCCCAGGGACCTTCAGGTCTCACTGCAAACCAGCCCGAGGGCAACCCGACTGGCCGGGATTCCCTCCCCGAAAGGCACCTACCTGCGAGCCCGCGTCGTCCGGGGCCTTCCAGTCCGGCGTCTCCACCGCCTGCTCCTCCGCGACCTCGGCTGTCCCCAGGTCTGGCTCGAGAACCTCGGCCATGGGCGGCGCCGATACTGGGAGAGAGCAGGTCCAGCTGCTCCCCAGGGCCCCTATCCCCGTGCTGCAGACGCGCGGCCTCCTGCCCGCAATGCGGAAGCGGGAGCCCGCTGGACACGCTCTGGTCTGGGCCGCGAGGGGGCGCCGCGACCGCCAGGGGTCCCCGGTGTAGACCCGGACAGCTCCGGCCCGGGCCACGCCCCCTGCCCGGTTCCGTGCCCAGTGGGCAGGGAGCCGAGCCCGGAGACTGGACGGCAGGGCCCGCTTCTCCCGGCCTCCTCTGGGGGCCCCCTCTGGTCACCGCCCTTGTTTTGGAGAGAGGCTGTGCGCTGTGAGCAGCCGAGGGTGGAGGACCGAGCTGCTGCTGGCGCGCCTTCTGTGTGACCGGTCGGGTCACTTCCCACGTCGCCAGCCCGCGCTGGCGGCCGCCTGACTCTGGGTTCCACTGCGCCGCCCGCGCACGGAGAAAGGGACCTGGAACTTCTGCAGACTCTTGACCTCGCTGCCCCGCCCGCAGTCCGGCCGACGAGCGCCCCACCCTTGGGCTGGATCCCGCGGCCCAGCCAGGGGCGAGCGGCCCTACTCCCACCTAGAGGACGGCCTAGGTTCCTTTCTAAGTACCCCTCGTGGGAGGAAATGGGTGGGGATCCAGCGACTCTGGGTGGATCTTGAACTTTCCGGGTCCCTTGCCCTTTCTAAGAAAGGACCCCAAACTATCCGAGTCATCTCGCCAGGATCAGGGATTCCGGGAGGGCAGACTCTAGTTTTTTGAGAAATTTTGGTTAGAAGTCTTATTTTTTCCAAGAGATTTATTGAGCTAATTCACATGTTATACAATTCACTTCTTTAAAGTGTATTAATAAATGGTTTTTAGTATTATTCGCAGGGCTATGCAACGATCACAGTGTTAGAACATTTCCATCAACCCCCTTGGCGACAGCCCATATCTTTAGCCACCTCTATTCCCCAGGCTCCAGCCCCAGGCAACTATTAATTTGCTCTGTCTTATAGGACATTTTGTATGAATGGAATTATAGCAATATGTGGTCTTTGTGACTAACTTTCTTCACCTAAAATGTTATCAAATTTCATCCATGTTGTAGCATGCCTCACCCTTTTTATGATTGAATAATATGACACTGTATAAACATTTTGTTTATTCTTTAGTTGGTAACATTCCGGTTATTTCAAGCTTTTGGCTATTATGAATAATGCTGCTATAAACTTTTCTGTAGAGGTTTCTCTGTGGACATGTTTTCATTTCTCTTGGGTGCACACCCAGGATTTGAATTGCTGAGTCAAATGGTTACTTTGTATTTAACCCTTTTGGACACTGCCAGACTGGTTTTTCATCATTTTACATTCTCACCAGTAGGGTATGAGCCTTGTTTCCCCAGATCCTCTTTAACACTTATTATTATTTTGGTTTTTTGATTATAATCATTCTGTAGGTGTGCCTATTGCTTTAAAATTTTTTCTTTTTTTAAATTTTTGAGATATAATTTACCTTACAAGATGGGCTAGATGGTGCATGCCTATAATCCCAGGCACATCACTGGGAGGATGAAGCAGAAGGATGAAAAGTTCCAGGCCAGTTTCAGCAACTTAGCAAAACCCTGTCTCAAAATAAAATAAAAAGGCCTGGGGTTGTAGCTCAAAGGTAGAGCATCCCTGGGTTTAATCCCCAGGACCACCACCACTAATAATAATTTATATGACATAAAATTCACTATTTAAAAATAGGCAATTCAGTTTTCAGCAGACTCACTATGTTGTACAACCATCACCACTATCAGGCAGCCAAAATTCCTATGTGGAGGGTATTTTACTCAGGTATGTAACCAGTTCCTCCTTACCCATCATGCCCCTGCAATGAATCTAGAATATTCATTAAAACAAAAAAATCCCATACAGCTGGGCAGTTGCTCTCCATCTCTCTTCCCATCCCTGCCCCAAACTCCAGCATCCACCACTCTACTTTCTGTCTCTATAGTTCTGACTAATCTGTACATTTCATATAAATGGAATCATATAATATGTAATATTTTGTGACCAACTTCTTAGTGAAAAAAGTAGTGTTTTCAAGATTGACACATACTATACCTGTACCACTACTTTAGTCCTTCTTAGTGCTGGAAAATGTCCCATTATGTGGGCCATGTGTGTATGTGGCGGGGAGGGGTACTGGGGTTGAACCCAGGACCTCACACTTGTTAGGCAAGTTCTGTACCACAAAGCTACAGCCCTAGTCTTGGAAGAGTGCTATTAAAACAATTGATGTCCTTCCTCTCTTTTCCTTGCCCTTCCCTGCCCAAACAACTGTCTGGTGGCCTAGGAACACATGACACTTTCTAGTGGTTATATCAAATCTATCATTATACAGAGCCAAGCTTGAATTATTTAGTGAAGCCTCAATAATAAATTTTGACTTATTTTAAAAATAGTCTGTCTATTTTTAATTATGTAACAGATGTGATCCATTGCTTAGGTGACTTTGCAATGTTGAGAAATTGAGAATGTAATTATACTTTATTGCAGGATTTTTTAAGAGAAAAAGGAAGTAATTTATAATTATTGGTTAAGAAGTTTGATTTTCTTATAATCTGAAGACTATCTTTTATAGTTATTTGTATCTTTTTTTAGGCAAGAACATTGTATTTGTAGAAAAACAGGCTAATTTTGGAGACATTTTTAAAAATAGATGTGGGATATACAATTAATGAAGATAACAGCAAATATCTGATTAAATATCTAAAGGTGGTAATTAGTCACCTAAAAAGAACAGAAGAAGGAAAGAAAGGAATTTATTTCAAATTAATGGGGGTTTTTTAGAATAAATTAAACAAAATACAGAAGGTTCAAGTTTCATATCCCTATTTCAAATAATTGAGTTAGGTTTCTTGTGGCTAGATTATGGTTAAATTGTTCTTTTAGCTCATACATAACTCATGTTTACGTGACACTATGAAGCTGATATTATACTTATGCTTTACAAAAACTTTAGAGACGAGTTCTATTTTCAAAGTTCATCAAGTAGAGGCTGAGGGTGGGGAGTTGCCCAGTTACCTAAATACTTCTTTTTTACTTTTATTTTTTCAGTAATTCACATGGACAATTAATAGACAACATTTTAGGAATAGATATTAAATGGCTGTGTTAAGGGCTGGGATTGTAGCTCAGTGACAGAGCACTAGCCTAGCACATGTGAGGTACTGGGTTTGATCCTCAGCACCACATAAAAATAAACAAATAAAGTCATGCTATCCATCTACAACTTCAAAAAGTTTTTTTAAAAATGGCTGTGTTAGTCAGAAAAGACCAAGTTATACTATGGAACCAACCTGAAATCTCATTGGCTGTAAGCAACAACTCCTGCAAAAAAATCCGTTTTGTCCTTTATCCTTTAAGTCTTCAGAGTCCTCAGAGGGTCTGATGGATTCTACAGGACAGCCCTTTTCAGGTGATGCAACATGGCACTTTATGACAATGGAGTCCCTGTGGTCGCTGCAGCTGGAAAAAGAGCACCCAGGTATCTTTCAGCAGCCATTACCGATGCTCCTTATTCCACACTGAAAGCACTGAATCAGTGAATCCAGAAATGTTGCTTTTAAGGGAGATATAGATTTAAGAGTCCTGTGAACCTCTGGTCGTGATATTTTTATCAACTAATATAGACACAATTTATGTGTGTTTCTGTACAAAGATGTCTTATTTAACATATGTTGTTGATTCACTGCCATTGAACCCATATCCAACGTTGTAACTCGTGCCTGAATGAAGCTTATCTAACACAAAACATTTGTGTTGGCCAGTGCATGGATTTCCAGGTAGAGTCACAAGACGCAGAGGCCTGTCTCCTTATTTGGCTCTCATACTCTAAACAATGTCCATTTTCACAGTCAAATTAGTGCCACATTTTTCTCATTCTTGTGCTTTTTGTTGGTGATCTCACTGCTTAACATCATCCCCAGGTGCAGTGCCAAAGTGTTGCCCAGTGTTCCTAAAGTGCAAGAAAGCTTTGTTTTGCTGCTGTGTGTGTGTCTTTGAGTGACAGAAAGTTCTCTGAGTATTGATTGTAGAGCTACAAATATATTTAGTAAGTACGCAAGTTTGCAGATACAGAATCTGTGAATAATGAGGATCAACTATAAAATGCTCTTGCAATAAGTTCTGTAAGTTGCTCCCATCCATATTTTATTGGCAAAGGCAAATCCCCCAGCCCTGACTAGCCTCAAGGGAATGTGGAAGTTCTCAAAGGAGAATTCAAAATACTTGAGAAAGCAGTTTATAATATCATTAGTCACTCATTGATTCTTTTTTCCATACTTGTGGCAGATTTTATTTCCCAAAGACGACTGCAGTGTTATTTCCCATCCAGTGCATTATTTTTAAAACAGGACTTTGACATGTCTCCTGCTAACAGGTGGAGGTCTGTGTTCTGTTTCTTTATAACTGGCTCACGGTGATGGTGGAAGTAATATTGGGTGACTTCTTTCTGAGGCTAGATTATTAAAGGCTTTCACCAGGTCTCTTTGGAATCCAAGAGCCTGCTAAAGGGAAGACATGTAGCTCCATGGAAGACACGTGTGGGTTCCTCGCTGTGGTCCCCAAGCACAGCTGGCATCAGCCGTCACACCTGTGAGTGAGCACCGTTTCAAATGACTCCAGCCTCCTGCCATTGAGTCACCTCCAGACCTCCTGAGTCTTCTTAACTGAGGCTCAGAGATCATGAGCAGATACAAGCTGTCCCTGCAGTACCCATGCAATCTGTGAAGGTAAGATAGATAATCATTTTTTTTAATGACACAAAGTTTAGGGTGATTTGTTTTTTAGAAATAGTAACTCAAAGAGTATTTACTCTGGCAAGGACTGTACTAGGTGTTGGGGGATTATTATAGCAATTAATAAAATTTGATCCTGAATTAGAACAACAACAACAACAATATATATATATATATATATATATTAAAAAATTTGGTCTTGACCTTTACATGTCTTACTGTCAAGTCATCTTTTATTCTGGGGCCATTCTTGCACACACATTATAATTACCTGTTTTATGGTTTCAGCTGTCTCAAATATGATAACTGTAGATTGGGTAGCAACCTGCTATTCTAACATGAAATATAATAGTTTCTTTTGGTTGGCTTCTCCTTTAGTTTTGATGAGAACTATAATTCTCATCTATTATTTAGACCCCAAACAACCCAGGAAGCCCCTTTTTACACTGAGCACTTTGCTCAGTGCCT